TATGCAGTGCTCGTTGGATTTTTCAGGATCCACCTTCAGCATCTGCATCTCCTATTACAATCAATTATTCAATCAATCAATTAATCAATCAATTAATTAATTAATCAATAAATAAATTAGTAAATTAATAAATCAATCAATTAAACAAATAATCAAAGATATAATTAATTGAACAATATTTCAATCAGTCATTAGACGTTTTAGTAATTTTTAGTACAAATTCAACATTAATTATAATAACATTTTTATAAAAAGAAAAAATAGAAAGATAAAATCTAGTACTAAATGGAACTACGTACTAGTACGTACCTGGCCATGCAACCGATTTGGTGATTTTATATTAACGAAATCTTCTAAGATGATCGATTAGCGGAAATTAATTGATATGAATCTGAATAAATTGATCAATTACAAGAGTGACCTGGAACAGTTCCCCCTCATTTGTTATTCTCCTTCTCATCAGCTTGGCAGATATCTGTAAAAAAAATCATATGATGATCATTTGTACCGTCAATCAAGGCTTATCTGATGTTTTTTTTAATTGAATAAAAAACATACTGAAAGCTTAATACGCTTCAACTTAAGTTCTTTTAACAATATATTTCGAGTTTTAAAAAAGGTTTAAATAATTCGAAGAAAATAAATGGCTAATTTTAACATATTGATATAAAAATAATCTAATGCCGCGTTGAATTAAAAGACAGAGAGAGATCATGCGCGTAACTCCTTCAATTTTTTATAAGAAGAATAGGGATAACTCCATCAAATTGTTAAAAGAAGAACAAGGATAGCTCCATCAATTTGTTAAAAGAAGAACAAGGATAACTCCGTCAATTTGTTAAAATAAGAACAGGGATAACTCCATCAATTTGTTAAAAGAAGAACAGGGATAACTGAATAAATTTGTTAAAAGAAGAACAGGGATAACTTCATCAATTTTTTTAAATAAGAACAGGGATAACTGCATCAATTTGTTAAAAGAAGAATAGGGATAACTCAATCAATTTGTTAAAAGAAGAACAGGGATAACTCCATCAATATGTTAAAATATAAACAGGGATAACTCCATCAATTTGTTAAAAGAAGAACAGGGATAACTTCATCAATTTGTTAAAAGAAGAAAAAGGATAACTCCATCAATTTGTTAAAATAAGAACAGGGATAACTCCATCAATTTGTTAAAATAAGAACAGGGATAACTGCATTTATATGTTAAAAGAAGAATAGGGATAACTCAATCAATTTGTTAAAAGAAGAACAGGGATAACTCCATCAATATATTAAAATAAGAACAGGGATAACTCCATCAATTTGTTAAAAGAAGAACAGGGATAACTTCATCAATTTGTTAAAAGAAGAAAAAGGATAACTCAATCAATTTGTTAAAATAAGAACAGGGATAACTACATCAATTTGTTAAAAGAAGAACAGGGATAACTTCATCAATTTGTTAAAAGAGAACAGGGGTAGCTCCATCAATTTGTTAAAAGAAGAACAAGGATAGCTCAATCAATTTGTTAAAAGAAGAA